AGGCGCCGCCCATCATTTATCACACACCGGATATAAAGCCTGTAAGTCTCGCGAGGGAAGAGGAAGTTGATATTAGAGTATTAAAACAAGGACATCAGATCAGCTAAAGTGATTTCAAGTAGAACTGGCATCCCTTTGTCCACTGTTTATCGTGTTTTGAAACATATTGCAAATGGATATGGCATTGAGCACCAGGGAGGCGCAGGTAGGCCCAGAAAACTGACTGTCGGTGACAGGAGGTGGCTTGGTATTCTTGTTTCTAAAAACAAACGAAGGAGTTTAGAAAAACTTAAGGCTGGATATGATTGATAGAGGAACTGTGGCTGTAAGGAGACAATTAGAACTGAGCTGCATGCAATGGGTTGGCAGAAACGTCGAGGAATTCCATCACCGATCATGAAACCTGAACAAAAGGAGCGAAGGTTGAACTGGTGCTTACAGCATAAAAAATTTAACTGGAACAATGTTATTTTCTCAGATGAAAGTTCTGTGTGGCTGTTTCCTAATACACTGAAATTCTGGACCAAACAAACTGAAAAACCCTTGTATCAGCGCCCAAAGTACAGTCCGAATTTAACGTGTGGGGTGGCATATCTGTGTTAGGGGCAACGCCCCTCTGTGTATTTGAAGGGAATATGAACAGTGAGTGGTACACAGATATTCTCGAGGGACATTTACTTGCATCTGCTCACGTGTACTATGGAAATATTTGGATTTTCCAGCAGGACAACGACCCAAAACATCGTTCAAAGCATTCACAAAGATTGGCCAAGCTATAGCCCTGACCTAAATCCGATAGAAAATGTTTGAGGACTTATGAAGGAAAGTGTCAATAAGAAAAATCTGACAATTATTGCTGAAATGAAAGAAGAGGTGTGGTCCGATATAGGAACAGCATTGACCACGAATTTCTAACTTCTTTGATCAGTAGTATGCCCCGCCGCATTGAAGCCTGCATTGCTGCCCATGGTGACTTGACAAAATACCAACTGTTCACCTGTCTTTGAATCTGAATGAGTGAAAAAAATATAAAAAATTACAATCTTAAATTCTCAATAATTTCTGGTTGTACTCTACCTTAACCTGAATGCAGGTGTTGAGTCTAGTGATCGATGTGTGACGTGATGGACCTCCCACCCTAGCGGGGATATCACTACCTGAGCACAATTACTCGCGACCAACATGGATATGACGCCGCAACCCCGTTTGGAAGCCCGGCTTTATAATAAGTCTTCTGTGACATTCCCCTCGCTGCTACTGTTGTTCAGAATGGCCCGGGGGCGGTGGTGTAGCCTTGTGGTTAAAGCATTCGCGCGTCACACCCAAAGATCCGGCTTCGATTCCCACATGGGTACAGTGTGTGAAGCCCATTTCTGGGGTCCCACGCCGTGATATTGCTTGAGTTTTGCTAAAACCGGCGTAAAACTAAACACACTCACTCACAAAGGCTCGCATGTGTATAGTTTCTTTGGTTGACGTGGAGCGGCGGTTGTGTGATATATAATGTCGCCTGATAACACGCGTAACGCACAGACTGACTCGCACGATCTGTATTCTTTATTGAAGAGTAAGACTTGATCCTACGTGTGTTTACTATACATTATCGTTTATTGAGTACTGATCAACTGACAATGGCGCCCCGTGGGGACTCGGCGCCAGGAAATATTTCCCTACGGGAACTGGTAAGGGTGGAGTTAAAAGAGGTCCTCAAGCTTCTCTGACTGCCTGGGAGAACAAAACTAAAATGAGTCCCCACGTGAATGTGAGGGGGTGAAAGCAGCACCAGCGCGTTGTATGAACTAACTAAACTGATGAATGGGAGTGTTTTAGTGTTTCCCGAATATGTGAATCGATCATCACGCTATCAACCCCTGGGTTGTATTTGTCAGATTTGATAAGCTACCCACCAAGATACATGTTAGTAGTAAAAGCATCCTACTCACCTCACGTTGCATAATTGGTAATGAACCGCTGATGAACATTACATTCTCGTATTTCAAACGCTGAAACAGTAAATGTTCACACGTTTTTCTTGCAAGTGAAGAGGGTTATAAGATCAGTCTAAGTAAACTTAGGCTCAGTATAATTCGTTATACAGCCATATTGTTTTCGTAGGCTGAACCAGTTCGTAGACGTGGTGGATTCGTAGCCTAGAGTGGTTCGTATACGGTGATTTCGTAGACGTGTATAAGTAATTGAAAAATAGTATTTTGTAAACATAGGCAAGAGAGATAATTTAATATATTTCTGAACAGTAACAACAGGTAACAACAGATAGCAGATAACAGATAACCAACCCTAGTAGAAGGTCGCGTCAGCTAATCTTTGAGCGACCTATGACCGTCCAATCAAACACGATTGGGACGTCCAAACTTAGAATGAAATTGGTCAACAGACGGAGTCGAAATGTAGTGTTATTTCTGTGCAGCATGAAACCCCCTCGGTACTTCTGTGGTGGTATTTGCGAATTAACCATCTCGAGATTTACGTTTTTTCATGTCTCTGGTGTCAGGTACGGAAACTGTAATGTGGAAGTCAGGAACTGTTAGACAGAACTGTGGAATATCCACTCATGCCTGTGTATTGTCAACAGATGGACCTGCAAGAAAGACATTTCACGACATTACTGTTGGACACATGCTTCATACAGCTACGTTGGATACAAGTGTGCTCACAGTCTGGACAGGCGTGAGACTCGACGTCAAACTGATAAATAATGCATTTTGTCTGGATGAAGATGATAACACGTTTATAATGGCGGTGGACACAAGTATGCCTCGCCTGAAGTGGATCCCTTGACACCTTTCTCGTAGCCCAACGCCTTCAGATGTTTCGATGTTGTTCACTCTATTTCCAAGGTGTTTTGTGAGGTTGGATTCACACCTCTGTTGACCATGTGCCCCATTTGTAAAGGCGGGGACACAAGGACTCGACTATACACATATACTTGGGGACGGTTGGAAGGTAGACTAACGCTTAGTCCCTGAATATAGGCTAGGCTGTTGGGAAAGTAATATGGTTCAGGGACTGTGAGACATACTAGATGGAAGGAGGGAAGGGGATTTGAACCCACAGATTGAACTGGGTCCTCGCGCTCTGTTCACCTGCGTGTCACCGTAACCAGATGCCATAGGTAATTGTTCATCCTTTCTATCACGGGTGTGTCGGCTCAAAAATTTATTCACATACTGGAATATTGCTGACTGCGGCGTTTGACAACACTCACTCATCGATCTTGATGTGGCAGGAAATAGTCATGCCCAAATATAATTATCAGTTATGGGAACACAACTAGTACGGGCTATCGACCTACGTCTAAGTTGTTGTGCCGAGCTACTGGAGCGCCTGTCAACTCTGTTGGGTTTTGGGGCAGGTTAGTAGCCTTATGGTTCTGCTCATCACGCTGAAGACAAGGGTTCGATTCAATGTGTGAAGCCCATTACTAGTGTCCCCCGCCGTGATGTAGCAGGAATATTGCTAAGGCGGCGTAAAACCGTACTCACTCACTGATATTAACGAAGATAGATTTGAATCATTGGCACATGTAAGGCAACACCATGGGGATGATCTGGACAGCTATCGAGCTGTTTTAACATCAGTGTGTGTGTGTGTGTGTGCTACCTAATGCCTCAGTCAGCAAGTTTATATTTATGTCCCCGGACAGATTTCAATCTCAAAAGCATGAGCAATCATCTACGCCTCGTCCACCACGTGACACAATCCACCGAACCTGACCACCCAATCCCCTTTGTAGTAGGTCTCGGGATCAACATAAAAAGAATTATATTAAATATACAGTTTGTAAGTGTTTACATAGCGTTTTGGAGTAATGTAAGAATTCTTTTTGCGTTTTTGTATAGAAAAAGAATAAACAAGAAATGAAAAAACATAATTTAAAAAAATAAACATTAGACCAAGCCAACAAGCTGGCTATTTTCTATGATGTATTGAGCTGACGGAGGCCGCTGATTTAGGTTGTTGTCTGTAGTTAATAGATCAGTGTTTAAGCTGTCGGGAAAGTTATTGTCAAGAGATGGTTTCAATAATGATCTAGTACATGGAGGTAAAAACGAAGAAAGCAAAGCGCACGTTTTGCGTGCATCGATTTACATTGTGGGCACATCGGTTTGTGTGTTTATATCTTAATAAACGCAAGCTGCATTGACGTCAGTTCTTGAGAAACACACGTGCAACTGATCACATGTGTACACTCACCGCGTACGGTAAGACTGTTGCTAAATATCGTGAAAATCAACATCCTCGAAGGTGAGGTGAAGTGGGGTTTAACGCCGCACCTAAGAATATTTCGCTCATATGACGACGTGCATGCGTGTGCATGTGTGGGTGCTTGTACTAGCCCAGACTGGTTCTAGAGTGCCAGCTCACTGAGATACCATGCCGCAGTTAAGCATGAATACCCTACTTAGACACATTATACTAACTCCGAGCCGACCAGTCCTTGTTCCACCCATTAATGCCGAGCGCCAGGCAGGGCCCAACAAGTATACCATATATTTTAACATCTTTTGGTATGACGCGGCCGGGGATCGAACCCGCGACCTTCCGCTCTCCGAGCGGACGCTCTAACCACTACACCACGGAGGCGGTCTCATCCTCGAAAAAAAATCTGGTATGTGTGTGCGTGCGTTGGTATTGTGTCTGTCTAATATGTCAATGTACATGATCATAGTCTGATGCATTCAACGCCATATGCCTGTGTTGTAAGTGAGTGATGAGTTGCATGTTTAAGGTTAAATTGATGGTGTTTAAGAAATTGAAGTTCAGTGCCAGTGAAATATGAAAAACAAAGATATATATATATATATATGTAACTGTGTTAAAGAAATACAGGGTGGTGTTCCTGGTTTCCTTAATCCAGATTGTAACAAAGAGCGACCACAATATTTGCACAGTTGCGGAATGCCAAGCTCATGAACGTGTTTCACAAAGTGTGCCCCCAAACAATGCATGTACTTTACTAACTTGTGATTTGTGTGCAGTTGTGGAACCTCGGCAGCAGTGCACGTGCTCTTACCGCAGATGGTTCACTCCACAACAGACGCTATTGGCTCCGTAAGTAGGTCACGGCACTTCGCGAGACCTTAATTAGTACTTCCAGTGACAAACAACGTTTCATACCTTTCGAGTGGTCTCATGGTTGTCAGCTTGTCACTGGAAATCTGGTACCGGAAGTAAGCTGGGCCCCGTCTCGCATATCGCAAGTTGTCGGGCAAAATAAGCCGGGAACCAGCTTAGTGCCGAAAGTAGCGGGTCATACTATAATACAAATACAGACTTTAAACAGAACAATTGTAGTAGCATGGAATTTGGGGTTCTTCTGAAATGAAAACCACAAGGCTACAGGGTGTGTGTTGACGGCATCTTCATTACGCTGGGACGAATCCACCAATATCCTCCTTATACATAAACCAAGGTGTGTGGACCTAGGTGTGCCAGGTCCAGCAGTCCCTCATACCATACAGTCCTGTAAGGATCGTGGACATATACAGAGGTGAGCTGGTATCCATGTACCTTTAAAAACCTGTACACTGTAGAGTCCGGTAGGCGAAGTGGGTACGCTTCCGGGGTTTCATTGCGCACACAACGGAGTTTTGAAACCAGTTTAAGGTTGTTAGACACCAAAATGAAGCTTATCCAATGATCTTCACGATCCCTCTAACCGGTTTAATAAACTAGTGTCTGAATACCACGTGTTTTCGCATTTCATTCCTCTTAGTGATGCACACGGTATACTTGTAATTACCGTACACCAAACCTTGTAATTCCGTACAGGCATTCTATCACCGTACACCTCATGACCAGGTATCATTGTAAATTCCAGCATATAATATTTTTACTACTCACATTAATTGTTCACTATCTAGATATTATCACATAAATACATATTTGTTAATGTGTGCTGTAACTGTTTGCACGCACGAGTATAGGGCTTTATAAACAGGGAACCATGTTGCATTCATTCAACACGTGGCATTCCTGTGCTGGTGCTTACGGGACTTTCCAAGGGTCCACATGTCTGAGTTTTGCAATTACAATTTATTTTCAAACCCTTTAAGCGGCAATAGGTATGTATGATAAATGACGGGTTTTTTTCTAAAAAAAAAATTCAAATTAAACTCTTTTAAACTTCTTATTCCGTGGTGTATTTAAGATATATAAGAACGAGTCAGTTGCTGAAGAAATAATCAAGGTTTATTTCGTAACAGGGAGGCAGACCTCAATTCATTGGACAACGGTGGGTGTATAACAGATCTGGGACTAGATTTTCGAAGCACTCTTAGCGCTAAGACAGTCGTAAGAGCCATACATTAACATTAACTTACGACTATCTTAGCGCTAAGAGAGCTTCGAAAATCTAGGCCCTGGGTCCTTATTCACAAAACTACCTTAACGTTAATTATGATGGCCACTGAATACTTTATCAAATTTATGTTTCATTTTTTTTACATTTCACTCTTTGCCGCTTTTCTTTGCGGCATTTCTTTTCTGCTTCGGCCTTCGCCTTTTCTTCCGCCCTTTCTCGTTTCATTTGAATTATGGACTCACTGGTCAAAATCCTGTGCGATGTGAATTTCCGAGAATTGTTTTTCGTTTCAGGGCGCTGATGAGGCTCGGGCAAACTGATCTCGGCATTGACAGCTTCTAGTTCGCTGACTGGTACCAGTTGTAGTGGGGTTTCTAGTGATATGTTCATATTGCCCGAGTCATCAAATGTGGATGGGACATCTCCTGTTAGTACTGACATTATGAAATCTTCAGCCGATAGAACAGTTGCCCCTTCAGGCAACTTAGCCACCAGTGAGGACACGTCTGGTGTGGAAGGGGTTCCAACAGTTGTAGAACCACTTGTAGCAATTACTGGAGTGGCAGTGATGTCGTCAGATGATTCTACAACCGCAGGAGCTCCAACAACACCAACAGCACTGACAGAAGGTGCCTGCTCTATCCGTGGAAAAGCCTCAACACCTTGGGACATACCAGAGGACACATGAGTGGTTTCACATGATTTCAGTGTCGAAACTAGAGGCAAATCAAATGGCTGTGAAGGGGTGAATGCCTCTGATGGCACGGAATTCATGTCGATGGGAAAGATGCCACACTTTCTGAAGCCGCTAATGATGTTGTTAGCGGTGACTGCTCGTGAATAGGCAATGTTAAAAAGACGGGGCCATTTCCACTTCGAAACTATGTTGTTGGGGCTACACACAAACAAGTGACCATACATTAATGTTGCTATTTACAACATTAGAAGCACTGCTGCAATGTCCAAAAATGTGAAAACATTCCATGTATAATGTGAAGAAAATCACTTGCTAGGATCAGACTGGAGACAGGAGAGTTCTTTAACCACCAACCTTACACTTCTATATGTTGAAATGTACCGAGAACGCTTCCTTTATATCCAAAACTATGCATCCTTACCCGTGAAGGCCCGGGTTAGAATATTGGCCTTCAGTAACCCATGCTTGTCGTAAGAGACGACTAACGGGGTCAGGCTTGCTGACTTGGTTGACACATGTCATTGGTTCCCAACTGCGCAGATCGATGCTCATGTTGTTGATCACTGGATTGTCTGGTCCAGGCTTGATTATTTACAGACCGCCGCCATACAGCTGGAATATTGCTGAGTGCAGCATAAAACTAAACTCACTCACTCACTGTATTGAGCTTGGTTGCCCCAGAAACGGACACCTGCCTTTGTATCAGCTAATGATAATTCACACACTATGATAAAATAGTTTATTGCACATGAGCCAATCTGAATAAGGTACAGACCTCACAATACTATTGCATGAACAATACAATGAAGCACTCATTGGTTTTCTTGCCGATAGCCTTTGAATGCCTGCTGAATCACTGGAGTAGGATTCATGACCCACAGGAAAGCAGGCAAACTTCAACTAAAACAAACATGGCAGGAATGAATTAATCATTAGATTGCTTTAACTCCCACCTAACTATCAAAGATCCTGACTCATTATATTGTCTTCAAGAACCTACAGAAGAAAAAAGCACACTGCGTTCCCTGCTCATTTAACTTGCTGAAATACACCAATAGCCCACAGTCCAACTTGGCATTCATGCATCCAGCGAATCATATCTGTGGAAGGATATGTGCAACATGGGCTTGGACATTTCATTACTCTATAATAGAATCTCCCCAGATTATACATTTCTTAAAGAAAGGAGAAAACTCTAATATTTTTAGACCCAAACAATCCATACGCAATTCATGGACATAACTCCAACCGTGAGATCAAACATATCAATCGATAACTAACACAATCAAGTGTCTGCTCGTACCTGGTTGTATCTGGTTGTACCAAGCTGTATCAACAGTGTATGAAATAAGCCAAAAACCCAGCCAGACATCAGGGCGGGTAACTTCAAAATGTTACCAGCCCAAAATGGATTTAACCAGACCAGACAATCCAAAGAGAATAACTCAATTTTTAGTTACAATGAAAAATTAATGATATGGTGAATTAAATCAGATGTATGGAACATGATATCTAAAATTTTACCAGACCATCGGGCTGGCAAGCTGTAAATGTAGACTGTCCGTCAGAAATCTAACCCATCTCGGGAGGTCAGACGGGCCTTATTTCATACACTGGTGTCAAGCTGTATCCAGTTGGTGTGTTTCCTGAGTAGCTGTGGAACCTGCCTTGATCCACACTCCATACAACTAAACTGTTACTGATTTAACACAGACAGAGTGATTGTGAAGAACATTTCCCAATCCATAAAGTATGGGAGGTTGTTGAAAGGGCATGCATTGCATCAGTTGCATCTGTTGTAACATGCATGTGGAACAGTGTTATCCCTGTGTCATTCAGTGTTGCAAGTGTGTAATGCATGGTGTCCAACAATTATATTGTGCAATATTGTGTCACGCACATCCGGTCAGGTCAGGCATGTAAATCAGGTCAGATTGTGTCCTAGATGTAAGAAAGTGTTAACATAATGCTATGTATGTATACATAACAGTGTTAAAATCTCTTCATGTATGTCCAACAGTTAACATGTCATGCATGGAAAAGGAGTGTTAAAACACAGTGTTTATATCATATCAATCCTGTAAAACAGTGTCAATATCAGGTCATGTTGAAAAACAGTGTTAATATTAGGTCATTCTTGTAAAACAGTGTTAATATCAGGTCATGCTTATAAAACTGTGTTAATATCTGGTCATGCCTGTAAAACAGTGAATTATGTACTCGCTTGTGTTCATCTCAATTGGGTATCCTAATTTTCCTTTGAGTAACTAAATAAATTGTACCCAGCTCACTCAAACTCAACTGGGTATTTTGCCATTTTCCATAAATTGTAAAAATATAATAGAGTTTAAATGTTGGTTTACGTGTTTGTTATTTATATCTGATCTGTATGGTGTACTATTATTGCCATCGCGTGGTGCATAAAAAATGAACGACGTTGTGTATGAAGTTGCCTACGACATCGGCTAAAAAAGACGAAGTCGACGACGACGTCCTGCAGAAATACACAGGAATGATCTACGACAAAAATACAAAAGCGATGTCGAGGGCGACATCGTGTTTAGAAATTGTTATATTGGAAAATGAGGGAATAACCTTTTGTGATGCAGTTGTACTGCTATTGATCTCTAATCACTGATTTCATGTTCAACATTACTACTTATTTCAGTAAACTGGTCGAGGGGTTAGTGCCAGAACACCTTAAGTATGGAAAGTCTGTCACGCTTACGGGTTTATGGCATGAGAATATCAAGCGTGGCTAGAGCAGTTGAGCAATACTGAAAAGTGGAAATTAACAAAACATAAACTGGTCTAAACTGAAAGGAGAGATAATTGATAAGTTGTTATGCATAACCACCTAATTAAGCTCCTGATTGCAAGGTGCTTTTTTGTATGAATAACATATCAGTATGTGAGCGCATTAATACTGTTAACTAAATTTGAAATTTCTTCTTTTTTTTTCTGGCACTAACCCCTCGACTAGTTTACTTAAATAAGTAGTAATATATGTTGAACATGAAATCAATGATTAGAGATCACTAGCAGTACAACTGCATCACAAAAGTTATTCCCTGATTTTCCAATTTAACAATTTCTTACAAGTTTTCACTTCAGGTGTTCTGGCACTGACCCCATGAATTATAGTGAGACGTCGCCCATTATGTTAAGCAGTCATAAATAACAAAAATATTTTACAAAGTGACGTCGCGCAAGACGTCTTTTTTTTATGTGACATCGTTTGTTTTGTTACGCGCCATGCGCTGGCAATTATAGGACACCATAGATCTGTTATATGAGAAACGATAAGAAAGACTGCAAGTTGCCAAGTTCCATGTGCTGAAAAAGAACCTCTCAATATACCTCGGTTATTTTATCTATTTATGTTTGTAAGCATGTAATATCAACTTTATTGAGTATTTACAAAACTTCAATAGACTTAATAGGAACTCAGTTTTCACATAAATATTTGCGTAATTTACACAGGTACGCAGCTGATCTGTACCTCTGCAGATATTATTAAATCAGGCCATGTGTTAAGAACAGTGTAATGTCAGGTTATGTTTGTAGAACAGTGTTAATATCAGGTCACACACAAAGTAATACCAGGCCATGCTTGAAGTGCAGAGTAAACACTGGTCCTGAGATTAGAAAAGTGTCAATACGTGGTGCTGTACGAAGAACAGTGTTAATATCAGGTCCACATGAAACAGTGTAGCACCAGTCAGTCATGTAGAACAGTGTAACATCGGGGCATGCAAGTAAAAAGGTGCTAAATTATGTTTGCTACAAAAAAAGAAAACGCTGCAAACCTGAAGATGAAGCAGTGTTGTACACTCACTACAATACTTGTGGTAACCAACAATACCTGATGGAGAAACAACACCCACTGACTATCAGTAATGCCAATTGTCAGCCCAAATAATATACCAGTAAAACATCATGTGCAACAAGTAACTAAACATGATAAATGTTGAGCAATGTCAGGAGGGATGTCTTCATGGCTGCTTGGTCACCTCCATACCAGGAACTCCTTCTCATGGGATTCAGTCTGAAATGTGAAACAAGTTATTCAGTGGATGAAATATGTGCCTAACAGTGAGTGAGTGAGTGAGTTTAGTTTAAGGCTGCTCTCAGCAATATTCTAGCTATATGGCAGGGGTCTGTAAATAATCAAGTCTCGACCAGACAATCCAGTGATCAACAGCATGAGCATTGATCTACGCAATTGGGATACGATGACATGTGTCAACCAAGTCAGCGAGCTTGACCACCTGATCCCATTAGTCGCCACTTACGACAAGCATGGGTTACTGAAGATCAATTCTAACCCGGGTCTCTGCCTAACAGACATGATGGTACATACATGATGGTCTTTATTTCCCAGACTAAAGATTGGAAGACTAACAGAGGAAACAGACCTTCAAATCTCTACTTGTACTTTACCTGATTTGTTTCACTGGTGATGTGATCAAACTTTAGCCGAAGCCTAAGATGTCGTCTCCACTCTGGGTGCCGTGTAAGCGTCGCCACTCCCTCCAGCCGGTCTTTGGATTTAACATCCAAAGGATTGTCCAACAAAAACAAATTCTGCTTCCAGTGTGTCAAGCTGGAAAGGCAAATACACAAGGAAGTCACAGAGATTGCTTCAAGCTATCTGTCTTTGTATGTGTCAGCCTGTTCCACAACTAAACTGGTTGTAACATAGAGCTGGACACTGGACAAATACTACTGCTTGCACTGAAGGAGGACTCCAAGGAAGTTATTTTCTTCCTTTTTGCTTTGATGAAATGTGTGTCCCATGCATGTTGTAATCGACAGGCTTAAGACTCAACATATCATAAATGTAAGACAATGAATGTATGATGATGTGATGTTCCTCTAGGCTGCCGAGCCATTTTAATACTGATGTTTGGTTTGGTAGTTGTTTAACACTGCACTCAGCAATATTCCAGCAATATTCCAGCAATATGGCAGCATTCTATAAATATCGAGTGTGGACCAGACAATACAGTGATCACAGCATGTGTATCGATCTACGCAACTGGGATATGATGATGCTTCAACCAAGTCAGCGAGCCTGACCACCCAATTCTGTTAGTTGCCTCTTACGACAAGCATGGGTTGCTGAAGACCAATTCTAACCAATACCAATGTAAGCCGATGTGTGTATAGTCATACCAGCATAAAAGTTTGGCATTAATAGTGAACAATTGTTGACTCATATAAGGGAGATAACTCACACAAGGAACTGCTCTCAAAACACCACTTGTAGAATTGCTTGACAATGGTATAAGACAATCTATACCGAAACATGGCATCATAATATAATTTAAAAAGTTGTCATCCATAAAGTTCTTAACTAATTCTCACATCTGTTTATGTGTCATGTTCAGTTAGATACAATACTACACAATCAGCTACAATGTTATACTCACTCATAATCGGGTCCAGTGTTCAAGATGGTCATTTTCACCCCTGACCCAAGTCCCCTGAAGTCTGTCTGGAACCATGTGGAGAAGCCATGAAGTTGGCCATCCTTGGTGATGTGGAATTCAAACTGCTGCGTGATCTTCTCCAGGTCGCCAATGACGACAGTGTGGAGATCAAGAGAGAAGAGCTTGGTCTCCGTGGCCAGACACTGGTCCCTCTGTAACACATAGTTGTGGTATGGCTTGTCGAAGAACTCACTGCTGGCTGGACCTCTGGAAACACAAGCAATAACTCCATGATCTACAGCACCTGACAGAAACATGAGGAGGATGGTAATGTAGCAATACATTTGCCCAAACCCCAAACTACTTGTATTGGTCATTGTGAGTAGATGGTAAAACTTACAGTAAAAAGGAACATTAGACACACAGTGTCTTATCTCGACTGTTTGTGTTTGTCATTTACTGTGCTAGTGGCAAGCGTTTATGGTCAAAGGGAGGTAACTCCAGACACCAGAAGTGATAACGAATGTAAACGCTGTCTGTATGGGTAAATTCTAATATTTCTACATAAATGTAAAGGAATGGTAGGTGATATAACGTTTGGTATTCATGTTGCTTGGATATCTGGTCAGATTGTGAGGATGTAATGGAATGTGTAGAAACAGCAGCTTTAGTCTGGAATAAACAAGCTGTTGTAACAAGCAGGAATGGGAGAAGTGGGTAGTGTTTAGGTGAACAGTACAAGAGAGGCCGGAAACTTTGTCTACAGTTTTATTCCACTCAGCTCTCGATCATGAGAGAGAGAGAGTACAAGATAAGGTTTTAAAAATAGGTTATTTTGTTAACACTTTCCAATATGGTCGAAAGTTACTTCAGTGTTCTTATTCGCACACCTTCCAAAACATTCTCCATGATTCCAAGGTTATTGGCAGTTACTCAAGATAACCATTGCAGACTTACTATTTTTGAAATTCAGTTCTCCAACTTTATTAAGTTTTATTTGACTTAATAGAAAGGGTTGAAAATGAGTGATATATGTTTCCATGGCATCCTGGGTAAAGAAAGGAACAGGACTATTTTGTCAGCGTAACTTCACACCATCAATGATAAATCTAGCCACAAAGGAGAATCAAGAACTCTTTAATTTATACATACAGTCAAGCCCCGTTTACATGGACGTTTTGGTTACGTTTGAAAATTGCATGTATAGTGAGTTGTCCAGCTATTTGAATTTACCAAGAAACACGTTCAGGAGATGCACAATGAAAATTTATTCTTTCAGATTTACACATTACACATTATTTAGCATAATAATAAACAACAACCATCAGTAATAGGATTGGTACACATAAACATGGAAACTGCACTTAGCACTAGAATCCATACTGTAGATAAATTTACAATGTACGCACATGTGCCTTTATGAAGTAAAGAAGTCTGCAGTCACACAGTGACGTTTGGGTGTTGCAGGTTGACTAGCCATGCTCAAGTCATGACCACAGAATCGTGACAATGCATTATATATCTGTTAGATGTATTCATTGCTAACAAGACTCTTAATTGCATTTTCTCACTGCCCCCTCTGTGTTGGGTATGTGTTGACAAGTAAATTACAAAGACACACATCAAACAACTGCCGAGAGATGTTAACATGCATGCACCTTCCTGGCGGTATGTAAGTCTTCTGGGTAATGGGGTCAACTATCAATGGAGTAATAGGAAATGAATTGAAAAATCATTGTCCGGGTCCGGAAGCAAGGAGTCCGAGTATGTGAGTACATTTAAAGAAGAAAAGTTTCGTTTCACTAAAAACCCGTGCGGAAGGCAGGATTTCTGTAAATACAGAGTATGTGTAAACAGGGTTCGACTGTATATTATTTTCATTTCTGCTTAACCTGGCTTATGAATAGTTTGTCTTACTTGAGTGATGAGAAGTCAAAGCCGTACTGGTTGTCCCAGAAATGTACCAGTTCTTTATGTTTGTCATGAGCCATGCAGGGCACCAGGTACAGACTGGCACGGGGACGGCCACATCACACCCTCCGACTTCAGGAACTTGTCTCGGGCAATGATCACAGACTCAATCATCATCTCAAACTGAAACAGCAAATGTGGCATGATAAATCATCATTACATGACAAATCTCCCCCAAACTCTGAGTGCAGCCCAGACCTGTCGACACTGATGGTGGAGCAATGTTGATATTCCTTGACTCTCTTCTGCTGTCAAAGCTGGTGACCATAGTATTCTTACTGTCTTGGAGGAAGCCACTGGAACAACCAGGGCCCCGTTTCACAAAACTCTCGTAAGCCTAAGATCTCGTAACTTTCCTTGTAGCATTCCTACCTCCTATACCATAACGCTGACTTACGATAGTCGTAGCGCTACCAGAGCTTAGTGAAACAGGACCCAGAATGGCACCCAACTGGATCAGATTGTTCTTTAATGATAAACATCAAATAAACACCTGCACAAATGTACCTCGTCTTGAGCATCCCCGAGGGATTGGTGCTAGCGTCTAGTGTTCACACTGTACACTCTTCCTGTAAGTGATATGACATCTCATAATCTGTGATTCCATTTTTACACAATGACAGGCAGATTTATATGGCCTTTAAACTGCTTGCCAAGATGTCTGTTGTAAATACATTTCATGCTATCACAGCCTGTCATTTTAAATAGTAGATGAGTGCGAACTTCCTCACACTAAATGACAAGACCCCCCCAACAGGTAAAATCATTATTGATTCAAGACATGAAGCAGCTGTTACATCAACAAGAAGTAACTAGTATGATCACGTCCCAAAATGGCCATTTGGGCTTAATGCTGCTTTGACCTGTAAGACATGTACAGTTATATCAGCGAGGTGGCTTGACGTGGAAGGAAGGCTTGAAGTGATGGAGATCCCGGACCTTAATCACACATGTACGGCGCTAACAAAGCCAGAAACATGTAAATAGAGCACGTCATGATCATCGGTCGCTTGCTCGTCCAAGGGAAGTAACTCTGCAATACAACTTGTGGCTCATCAAACAAATCCACTTTTTACAGTACTTTTAAATCTGTTTTAAATACCGAGCAATACCTCCATGATATTAATCTCAGAAACTTCCACGTTTCATTCTCCAGAGATAGTTGCTCTTCACATGATCTTATGATCGAGAAGGGCAGATATTATAATATTCCAAGAGACAAAAGATCATGCAAATCTTGTACATTTAATGTAATTGAAGATGAGTTCCACTTTTTGCTGGTATGTCCTTACTACACTGATTTAAAGACAAAATATCTACCACAATATTACCATTCATATCCTACCACCGTTAGATTTAGTTTGTTAAAGAACTCCAATAATACAGCTTATATTAGCAAACTTGGTATGTATATCTATCATGCATTTGCACATAGAACACAATGCCTGCAAACATGGTGATGCCATTACTGTTATCAGACTTTGTACTGTAGGCCTGTGGCCTCTTCAGTACTTCAACTGGGTCAACCACATCGCACATGGCAGACAACATGTCTGCTGCTATGTCACAACTAGTTGATATGTTTCACAAACCACAGTGCTAAATACCAAACTATTCGAACAAATCAACATCTTGTCACACATATGGTACAACAAGACACAGTGTAAGAGAATGGGTCATGTTTAAACACCTAGTTCTTTAGTTTGTGTACAAGTTCAGAACAGCAGATGGGAGTTAATAACAACGTACCAAAAGGATTGTGCCCATCCACTCTGAAATGATCAGATCCACTTCATCATCCAGCTGAGTATCCTCGATGTAGCTGTGCTTGACACAGATGATGTCCTCAAATCCATTGTCACGCACAACACCTTCAGTTTTCTCCGCCATATCACTGGCCTCTACAGCATACACCTGTTAAACACAGAGGACTGCACCATGCCAACTCAGGTCTCAAGATAATTTTTCAACATCAGGAGTACGTAGTCCTTATTTTTTCAATATAGGAGTACTTGGAAAAACTTAAGAGTACATTTAGAGTACTGAATTGAATATAATGGCGTATCAGTAATCTTGTGTTTTGTTTCATACATGCACCACAACATACACCAGATATGGGCTTCAGACATTGTAACCATATGGGGAATCAAACCCGGGTATTTAGCGTGATGAGCGAATGCTTTAACCACTAGACTACCAGTGTTCACGAATGGTGTTTGAAAGTAACAGGACATTGGGTCCTGTAAGTTTCAGATGTCTGTCTGACCCACTGAAAATTCACCATAAAATAAAAATTAAACACACATTTCAAATTTAACATTTCTTATACATAATTGGCATTGAAATTATTAACAAATGGAAAATTTATAGACAGCAAACAAGTGTGACACATATAACAACTTCAACTGACGGGTTGTAGAGTTCCATCGGATCTGCCGGATTTGTCCGAGGGTCCGATGCTATTCGTGAACACTGGACTACCCCACAGCCCCTGTGTAATGAGTGAGTTTGGTACTAAGCTGATGTTAGCAATATTCCCATAATATCACTGTCAGGAAGATATTACATGGATGTCACACGCTGGCATGAGGAGAGAATGCCTGGACCAATACAGGTAAGATAAGCGTCACATTTCCATTACATTCAACAATGTGCTAGTATGCATGTTTAATTCCTGAATATTTAGGCAGAAAGAACAGATAATATGACGGCTATATATTTATGACTTCAAACCCTACTGGTATTGACCTCAAACCATTACTGGAATGATGGTTCTGATCTTACAGTTACTCGATTGTAAATAGTATCTGTACCTTCTTTGGATTCCCGTACTTGGCACACATAAGGCTGAGAATACCGGACCCGCAGCCAACATCCAGAACTACCTGTGGGCAGACAATGTAAGTGGTACCTATTTGGGCTTCAACGAGTCCATTTTTTTGGACTCGAGTACTCGAGGGGTGAGACTCACTCGGACCCGAGTCCTCGAAATTCATACCTTTCAAGCAAAACATAGCGTAACTGGCATGACATGTGTTCCGATCACACAAGTGAACACTTACTTCTTTCCGACTTCATATCGTCATGTGACTAACATTTCCTATTGGTCAGAATCAGTATTTGGATGCTTACTTGACAAATGTTCTTCGTACTTCTTGTACTGCCTGCAAAACGCACTGATATACCGCACAGGCGGCATTTGGTTATTTTGCTCTTTTCACTATCCAGATCAAGATATGCCCATACATTTGATTTATCTTTCTCCATGTCTATCAATTGTCAAGATAGTTACCTAATCATTTTAAGAAGTGAAATCTCAAACGATGTATAATATTTACTCTCATCTGCAGACAACTAATACCATACAGCCACACCATGTGAGGAGTAAACTATTTAATCTAGGTGTTAATAAAAACATTATCAGATGGGTTAAAGAATTCAGGGTACATAGAACTCAGTATGTCAGTGTCAGTGGCTATCAATCTTCTTTCCTCTCAACCTCTACTGGAGCTCCAAAGGACTGTGTTCTTTCATCCGTACTCTTAGTTTTGTATACCAATGACTGTTACTTGTCAATATATGACTTGTTTACAGTGAAATTTGCAGATGACGCCACTGTTACTGGCCTAATTTCTGATTCTGAACAGTATTATCGTCAAGGCATTGACAAAACCGTAATGACAGTTTTTATCAAACCTTTATTCAAAGTGTGTTGACCTACAATTTTCTATGTTGGTATGGGGATCTGTCTCATCGCAACAAAAACAAACTTTTCAAAATTGTTAATACTGCTTGCCAAATTTCTGGAGTGTCTTTCGAGTATATTCCCTTTATCTATGAGCGCCAGATTGTCAAAAAGGCAGCTAAAATTAGATTTGATAGTTGATATATTTGATCTCACCATTTTGAACTACTTCCTTCTGGACACTGCTGTCGATTACCTTCCCTCAAAACAGAGCACTGACAGTCTTTCATACCATCAAGTATTCGTGAATGCAACAAATATTTTGAATCACCATCATGTGATTAGAACTAGAATTATTCAGCCTCTTTACCTATGTGGTTAATTAAATTATATCATGTCAGTTTTATTTGTAAATAGCATTTGTTTTGAGCATGTAATTATTGTGTATATTTTTGTGAACTGTGTATATATTCATTTTGAGACAGTTTGGATGTTGAAGAATTTCCTCCGGGATAATAAAGTTATATCTTATCTTAATATTAGACGTTAACGGCCGCTCATGCTTAGCACATGGCAGACAGTCTGTCAACGTCAAATAATTTGAGTTATCTCCCCTTTTCGAGTCCTCGAGTCCTTCAAAATGGACTCGAGTCCAGCTAAACCCGACTCGTCCTCGAGTACCCGTGGAAGCCCTAGTACCTACAACTTGATACACAAATAGCACAGAATGTCTGACCTGGAACCAACATCCAGAACTACCTGTGGGCAGAAGAATGCAAGCAGTACCTTCACAAGACACAAGAGCAGAGCATGCCTAACCTAGAACCCACGAAGATGGAAAACCACAGTAAGTCTCCGGATCTCTGTCTGACCCATTGAAAATTCACAGTACCCATAGAATAAAATTAACACACATTTCAGATTTAATATTTCCTGTAACTGGCATTGAAATTATTAACAAACATAAGATTTATAAACAGCAAACAAGTGTCACATGTCACATGTAACAACTTCAGTCAAAGTCACTGGGAAATATAGTCAGACACTGGGGCTGGCGGGTTGTAGACTTACAGAGAGAGAGAGAGAAATTATTTTATTATTGTGTCACGCAGATGTTTACAATATATAAAATCTTCTGTAACACATATGAAACATCTGCCCGGCCTTTACAGGCCTAAGAGACACATAAAATCCATAAAACAATGCATAGATAAAATATATCCCTATACACACATAGTTAAACTTAGAGATAAAATGGATGGTGTAAATATCATATGTTATAATAATTTTCTTCTTTTAAACATAAGTAACACTGAAGCAGCTAAGGAATATACTAGGTTATCACATTCCATAATAAAAATAGTCTGGTTAGACAGGAGTTATCAAGCTAAACAGAGGATTAAGACAAGCGTGCCTTTTGCCATAAAACTGACCTTATATCCGGAATATATATTACATTTCGATAAAAATGGACCTCGTCTTCAACTGCTCTATTCTTACAATATTTACATAGTCATTGTTCAAGAGGGTTTTAGGCCATGAGAAACGACCAAGTTCAATCTCAGAGGTAAATTTCCACATCGTGTAGTTTGGCCAGGATACTTCACTGAGATCTATTGAAAATAGATGCGGGCATATGTTGATACTGATAAAGAGGTCTTAAACAGCGGAGCGTTCATAGTTTGTTGCCGTTACAGCGGCCAGTACCATCCATAGTTGTGAATACCAGTTAGAATAATCAATATCAAACAACTTCTCTTTTTATGAAAATGAAATCCATTGGTGAAATACACAGCATGTCAACAAGAGGTAAATCCAAAGAGATCAATAATTGTAAAACTTTGTTATCCCATGACTACGGAAGGACAATGGCAATGACCTTACATTGGACCATTGGTGAATCTGCGGTTTGTCAGAGGGTCAGACACTATTCATGAACACTGAGTGCACAGCTAATCCCCTGCCTGTTACCTCTTAAAATGGGAATGGCCCATAAAATGAATAACAGAACAGAACTTAATTACTCACAGGCTGATATCATGCGGCATATGAGGTACAAATGACAATAAATGATCATATTATAGTAGAAGTAGTAATAGTAGTTAGCGGGAAGATTTTACAATTTGCATGATATATTTACAGAATTTACTGAGATTTTTCATAGCGGATATCCTATTACATGTCAAGGTAATTTAAATTTTAACACATTTGGTCTTTTTATAAAGGAAGCTGGTATATACATTGATCTTTCTTTCCTAAATATGTGCATTTAAGAATATAATGAAAGTCATCACCAACATTATTCATACAACATAATTTACATTTTCTTTCATCTATTGGTTTCTTATTCCATCTTCCCTTTTCAACTGGTAAATGGTGGCATGAAGTACGAAAATGGAGTAAGGGGATAACTTTGTTAAAGGGTAGGGGCGTTAGATAAGTTTCAAATTCAAATTGAGAATTCAAAGAGAATATGTTTGACTTTTTGGGAATTTCCAGGAAGATGAAAGAGGAAACTATTGCTCTTGCTCAGAGTATATCAAAGGGGAGTATCTGGCCTAGGAAGATGAAAGAGGAAACTATTGCTCTTGCTTGTATATCAAAGAGGAAACTATTGCTATCTGGCCTGGCCCAGGAAGATGAAAGAGGAAACTATTGCTCTTGCTCAGATATCAAAAAGGGGAGAGGAAGATGATCTGGCCCAGGAAGATGAAAGAGGAAACTATTGCTCTTGCTCAGATATCAAAAGGGGGGTTTCTGGCCCAGGAAGATGAAAACTATTGCTCTTTGCACATGCATATCAAAGGGGAGTTTCTGGCCCAGGAAGATGAAAGAGGAAACTATTGCTCTTGCTCGTATATCAAAAGGGGGAGTATCTGGCCCAGGAAGATGAAAGAGGAAACTATTGCTCTTGCTCGTATATCAAAAGGGGGAGTTTCTGGCCCAGGAAGATGAAAGAGGAAACTATTGCTCTTGCTCGTATATCAAAAGGGGGAGTTTCTGGCCCAGGAAGATGAAAGAGGAAACTATTGCTCTTGCTCGTATATCAAAAGGGGGAGTTTCTGGCCCAGGAAGATGAAAGAGGAAACTATTGCTCTTGCTTTCATTATATCAAAGGGGGAGTTTCTGGCCCAGAAAGATGAAAGAGGAAACTATTGCTCTTTGCTTGCTCTTACATCAAAAGGGGGAGTTTCTGGCCCAGGAAGATGAAAGAGGAAACTATTGCTCTTGCTCGTATATCAAAAGGGGGAGTATCTGGCCCAGGAAGATGAAAGAGGAAACTATTGCTCTTGCTCGTATATCAAAAGGGGGAGTATCTGGCCCAGGAAGATGAAAGAGGAAACTATTGCTCTTGCTCATTATATCATTGGGGGAGTATCTGGCTGAAAGAGCTATTGCTCTTGCTATATCAAAAGGGGGAGTATCTGGCCCAGGAAGATGAAAGAGGAAACTATTGCTCTTGCTCGTATATCAAAAGGGGGAGTTTCTGGCCCAGGAAGATGAAAGAGGAAACTATTGCTCTTGCTCATATATCAAAAGGGGGAGTTTCTGGCCCAGGAAGATGAAAGAGGAAACTATTGCTCTTGCTCGTATATCAAAAGGGGGAGTTTCTGGCCCAGGAAGATGAAAGAGGAAACTATTGCTCTTGCTCTTATATCAAAAGGGGGAGTTTCTGGCCCAGCTTGGCTACTTCTTCCCCACCCTTGTTTTAATATCAAAATGGGGAGATTCTAAATCTCAAATTTTAAAATCAATTTCCTAATTATCTCTGTCAACTTTATTTCTCCTCAAAAGAGATTACGTTTTCACAATGACACCGAGGTGTTGTCAAATAAAAAATAGCAGTTTTGCAAAACCCCAGGCTAAAAATAACCCCATTGACGCATTGCGATTCCCTCTACATTTCTGACTGGTTGTTGGGTTAAGCCAACTCTCTGCTCCTTGCCACCTGGGTATGAAAGTGCTATGGTGACACATACTCAACAAACTATCTGATCACCCCACCCTCTTTATACCTATTCCCATGGTACAGAGTTGTTAAGATACATATTTGCAAAATGTGCTCCATTTATAAAATATGTCATTCATTAGATATACAAGTAGTTTGAAAATGTTCTGCTGACCTTATTTTTGAGGTACTCTGCATTCCTTTGGATGGCTTTTTGGTAACACAAGTTCCTAGGACGGTCACTGAGCATTTCATGATGGAGTTTCTGAAACAACAGATGGGGAAAATAGTTCTTCCAAATACCTGTCAATGATTCTGTTGAAGTCCATTTAACACTGATTAATATATTATGGTCGATATATCATTTTGTTTTTCAAAGAAAATCTTTGTAAGCATTACCAGATGCAATAATAATAATATTAAATATTTTCACTTCAATCACTAAATCAACTTTTAATAATAATCATTTTGTTCTTGCAAATTTCTGCATCACCACTACCATGGATGTCATCATATATTTGAAGAATGTTCTAACATTGACAATCTTAAACATTTAATAATACTCTTTAAATGCTCTGATCTCTCTGAAGACCAATGCCACAAAATGAGAAATCTTACCAGGTTACCATAGTTACCAAAATATTCCTGATCTTGCCAGAATATTTCTTGTGTTGATGTGTAGGTCAAATGATTGACAGGTACATAACCTTGGCAACCATCTTTCTCCCCCCACCACCAGTCATCATTAGTTTTTGTGAGAATACAGATCTTATCGCCAGTTGTGAAAGAGAGCTGAAAATAAAAGGATATAGTTGGTTTGTTCCAATGGTATTAACACAAGCTAATTAGAAAACACATATCGGTAACACAGTTTTGACACATCTCATGCACTATTACCTACAATCAGGTTTTAATGTTAAACCACTCCCCTCCCCAACTACATGAAACATGCATCAGTGAAACAATGACCAGAATATTTGTTTGGATTTTATATTTTATTATAAATATGAATTGAAGAAAAGACAAAAACACCTGCAACTACTGAATTATGACTAACAACATGATCCATTTCTTTTAAAGTTCCACATAAAGGTGTTTCCCTTTCAGGCAATGTCTCTATTCTAAATATTCTAAATCAAAGTCTAAAAAAGACACAATTTATCACATTAGACACTTTGGAGATTTGTGATACTTGAGAGCCCTGATGAAGTCCGATGGGGTACACCATGAATGAGGTACTAACAGGGAAACTACCAACAGCACTTGTCAAACCACTGATCACAGCGAAGGTTAAACGATGGCCTAGTGTACGTAAGTTCACCTTTTTTAACTGTTTAGAGTTTGGGTGCTTGGGTTTCAATAATTTGTTTCTGTGTGAGTGACACTGCTTCAACCTGAATATTAACACAAATTGGAAAAAAATTACAACAGAATATCTACTACAAGATGTACCGAAATACAAACAAGTGCCTTGAACATTGAAAATCAGTTACCCCCTTGTTGGCAAGTATCATATTAGTCTATTGACCCCTTTGATCAAAAGAATAATTAGTTACCTGGTCACGGCCAAGTCCTTTGAAACTGGACAAAGCATATACAAGATCTGCAATCTGGCATTGTGTGTCGTTTTCTACATCTTGTTGGTGTGCCAGCGAACCACCTTCCATGTGGCTTGAGGGGTTGCAACGGATTCTAAGGGGGGTAACTCTAACGTTGAACGTTCATCGGCTTGCCGCAAGCAGTTTGAGATCAGTTCCGCCTCGCGGGTCCATATTACTGCCGAAATTATATTTTCTGAAGCATATTATTCTAAATTTCCTCAACAAGACATTTAACGACAAGGAATGGATCAGTCTATATATGTAACGAAACAAAGTCATGAAGCATTAACTTATATTTCCGAATATATGTGATTTTCTTTTTTTAAGCGCCGCCTCGGGCCTCGTCCAGTGCTGAGGAAGTGAGTGAGTGAGTGAGTATGTTTTTACGCCTCTTTGAGCAATATCCCGACAATATCACGGCGGGGGACACCAGAAATGGGCTTAACACATTGCACCCGTGTGGGGGATCGAAACCCGGATCTTCGGCGTGACGAGCGGACGCTTGAACCACAAGACTACCCTACAGCCTCAATGTGGAAGTAAAGAACTGATGCAGATTGCAGTCTTCTGACAGAACAGTTCAGGCAGGCCTGGTGGTCCGATTGAATAATATCCGGGAGAATACTACAGATTCCAAATAATTAAGTTATATAATTGTGGTCTTGTCTTATAATTGTTATAGTAAAGTATCATTAATAAGTAAGAGCAGACCCTTACGAATACATATTGCCTCGTAGGTGAGCAGAGACAAGTGTTTGACGTGTGTACACATGAATATAGGCCTTTTTCACTTTAGTTTAAGTGAGATGAATAAACATCGATTATCAATTTTTAATTAACTTATATGTTGTTCTAATTTAAGTAGTGTATGTTAATGTGCGGTGTGTGTGTGTGTGTGTGTGTGTGTGTGTGTGTGTGTGTGTGTGTGTGTACCATATGTATTCACTCAATCGATCGATAAGTCAATCAATTAATCGGTCAATCCGTCAACCCATCGGCCTCTCACCCTGTAATAAAACATACAATATACATGCATTTATTTATACATGCAGCACGTATACAGTTACACATCACTAGTTCACTAAAACTCACTTACTTTTACTACTAGGAAAAGAACATAGTTCTTGAAATTTAACATATAAAACAAAATATTAAATATTAACCAAAAAATAGTAAATATAATATCTTATGAATGATGGCGGCCATAACATTGTTAAAAGCAAACTTCTTATCTCACTTTACATTCAAAACTACCAACCAAATCATGCTCTCGCGTATACATAAATTTAGAGATGTCATACTGAATAATTAGAAGGTATAATGGCTATTTTATACAAAATATTAATGTTTACAATGCTTTACATCATTTATAACATATTTAATAGATAAGTTACAATTCTATATATGTTGGTAAAGATAACGTAAATATTTAACGTGAGTAATGTGCCGACATCTTGTCCATATCTTGGAGCAACTAATTGGACTAACCAATGCACATAAACTAATGCAATCACAAAAACATAAAAACAATTTGAAATAACAAATCGAAAACCCTATTCCTAAAAACTACATACGCAATGTCACGATACATATATACTACATATGGACACCCCCATTCACTTTTCAGGCAGGAAGAAAGGTCGGAACTTTGCAGCATGGGTTTCTTTATCGATTTATCACCGGAAAATATACTCATGCCAATAATGGTTGTCACCCCCTTCAATTTCTTTTATTTGATTGGGGCTGTGGGGTGGGTGTGTGGGGGTTGGGGTGGGGAGGGGATGACAACCATTATTGGCATGAGTATATAAAGTATACACTCCATCGCTGTCCTTACCTTCTTTGTCTTGATGTCGTGGTCTTATGTTGGAAGACATTGTCTCTGTGTGGTCAGGGTATAAGCATACAAGGAGTACGTCATAAAACTTACCCAAGACGAGAAATAGAGCGGCACTTGACGGGGACTTTATATATGCCGAATCAAGTCTCACTTGAAGAAAATATGTATGTGTTGATGATCAAATAACATTAGCGAACTTGTGCTGCAAAGTATACTATCGTGTGAGTGTTAAAACAGACGAAGCGATGAGATTGGTGTGTACCAGGAGTCTTGAAGCCTTTCTGTAATGTTAAAGTAGACATTTACAGAACAATGTGTATATGTCCACAATGAAATACAGTCAACAAGTACATTCGTTGTTCTGGTAAATACTGGTCAACTATGTACCATCCGCACGACTTGTTGGGAACCAATGTGGAGGTCACTGCACAACGTTTATTCAAGCAGGGTTCCTTTTTGTCAAAGCGATGTCTGAGTTTATTAATTCATAGGATAGAGCAGAACTTCAGTTGTCTCTGTTCCTATCGAAGCTTAGTAGCTCTGCACTAACATTTACCTCAGTGTTATAAGACGAGAACAATAAAACGCGACCACTGATATATCACAGGCTACAGTGGGTTTTACCAGTTGAGTGTTTGTAAGAAAAACGATAAACGAAATTAAGGGTCGGGTGAGACACTTCAACGTAAATATGCTATTGATGCCTGTTGAACCAACCGGTCTTCAAAGGAACACACCAATAATTACCATCGATTACATGTCTGGGTGGTCATCACAACAGAATGAATAGGCAGGGTTTTGTTTGTTTGTTTGTTGCTATTTTTTTATAATGTTTTTTTTTTTATTCCAGCAAAGAAGAGAGTAGGTACAGTCACATGGGCATGAACAGTTGCACAAGCTGGTTTGAACAACAAAGTTCAAGAATGGCACAATGTTTGCAAAGGGAGTTAGTAGCTCTATGGATGTAAGCTAACAGTATACAAAATCAGATGTAATTTATCTAATTAAAGTATACGTTTTGAGAGTGGAGACCATTTTGTCAAACGCGTTGTATTTGTTGTTCTTGAAATGCAATAAACCTTTCATTGGCATAAACTTGTTTTGAAATGGTTTATAGCCGTATCAATGTATAGTGAATGAGATATGGTTTTACGCCGCTTTTAGCAATATTCCAGCAATATCACGGCGGGGGACACCAGAAATGGGCTTCACACATTGTACCCAAGTGGGGAATCGAACCCGGGTCTTCTGCGTAACGAGCGAACGCTTTCCCCACTAGATACCCCACCCTCTCCCTTTAGACTGCTTGGGAATATACGCCTTTTGTTCAATAGGAGTAAATGATTCAACAACTTAAATTAAGCCGGATAGCCAAAAAGAATGTCCTAAAGTTACATCCATTTCTGTATGGGTTTTCTAAAATAGTTCCAAACTCGCCCAGAAATATGTTATTGATGCTTGTTGAACCAGTCTTCAAAGGAACACACTAATAATTATATACCGACGATTACATGTCTGGGTGGTCATGGTAAATGAGTGCATGTAAACATGTCTAATGCTATAAGTACGCAGACAGTGTGGCGCTGACATACTTACACTGTGTATGCCTATTAGCTAGGGAAATTGTTGTAGAATATAATTATATAAACTCGGCAGCTGAAACGACGGTATTGCAGAACTTGTTACACTTGAATGAGGAAGTTAATTAATTATTGGCAAAGTCATGAATATTTAGCCTCATGACATCACAATTATCGATTGCTGCTACCATAAATATTTGCTGACTCTAGGCCCGATGCAATGAAGGAATATGGTTTTACGTCGCTTTTAGCAATATCACGGTAGGGGACACCAGAAATGGGTTTCACACATTGTACCTATGTACAATCGAACCCGGGTCTTCGGCGTGACGAGCGAACGCTTTAACCACTTGGCTACCCCACCGCCCCCATACAATGGATAGCACGGACTGCCAGTGTTGATAATAATCAGACCTAACGAGACAAACTGTACAATTGCAGATAATCATGTGGGGGTATCTAACGACCGTGCAGTTACGGTTTTAGCACAATAGTTTAAATCACGATGCTAGTAGTTATAAGCAAAGTGACACAATATTAAGTTTTCAGCTGAACAGATTTTCCTGTTGCCATCCCTGCCAAAGAGATGGGTGCAAACCATACTTTCTGGTGAGGCGGATGGCATAGTAGTCTTAGGCGCTTCATTTCGCTCTGCAGAGTTGTGTCCCTTGCGCACGCCAGAAACCTATGACTGTGGTTTCGAATCACGGTTTGCCTCGACCTAGGTTTGTCCGTAAACGTCTGAGGCCTGCATCATATGTGACGTTCCTCCCACATGATGCTGACACGACTGTTGTGGTTGAGGGGGAATACTGTCACTGGCGTCGGACTCACTCACCCAGAGATATAACAACAATTATCGCGTACGCGTTCAAGTTCTTAAACTGATTTTAGCTGACTGACTTAAAGCTTCTATACTGAAACTTGGTTTTAAGGCTATGGTCCCACAACAACATCCGTATTCCCAGCAGGCGGATCTCACGATCTACCTTGGGTCACAGTCAACAGGTTTTGTGTCTAGGATCTGAATAGTTTCTGTATACATGTCTTTCTCATATCTTTTTCATCATATTTAGTGATATCAAAGTTGCTTTGAAGAAAGCAAACAGAAGTTAACAATTACACGCTTCAGTTCTCACCGTTTCCCATTTCTCAAACCACCTGAAGCCGGAACTGTCTCTGAACTAGATCTCAACAGAATAATAGGGATATGTCAGAGGAGTTCATGTAACCTTGACATTGCGTCCTGCATGGGATATTTCTATGTATCGAGCAGAATTTCGTCTACAAAATGTGCACTGGAAGCAGAGGCATGTACTCAGGAGGTGCACGTGTACCCTCCCCACCCCTTTTAAAAACAATAATATGGGACCATCAGGTAACAGTGTCACTATCCGTAATGCTATACCATTGACATCAAATCTCACACACACACACACACACACACACACACACACACACACACACACACACACACACACACACACACACACACACACACACACACACACACACACACACAGACACACACATTTAGGGTAAACGTGTTAATTGTTCACCTGTCAGTTTCCACGTGCCATCAGGTAACAGTGTCACTATCAGTTATGTTATTCCAATCTCATCAAATCACACACACACACACACACATACACACACACGGACATTGGAGTTCAGTCATGTTTCCCATTGTGTAATGTAACCTGAAGTATTCAGTGAGACCATCTATCAGACACACACTGTAGCTGGTGCGGGTCCTATAACACACGTAATGTGTGACAAGTAGCAGCACTGGTGCTTGAAACAAGTAGACAGACAGGTATAAGAACATACCTCGTGCTCAGCTATCTAGGTATAAACGTGCTCCAGTTATTACAAAGATGTCCGACCGTGAAGATCCGGTTTAGAACTGTTTTTAAGCAGTCTATGCTCGTCGTAAGGGGCAACAAACGGGACCAGGTGGTGAGACTCGCTCATTTTGTCAATCACAGGATTGTCTAGCCCTGATTCGTATATTTACAGACTACCATAGCAGTAATATTGCTGGAAGCGTCGACTAAATAAAGCGATATTTTTATCGGTTGCAATTGTATGGAAACATTTTGGTGCCACAGTCTAATAAACTTTTATTTATCATCTAGATAGACGATTTTTAATCTACGTAGCTCATATTTGCGTGCATGGTATAAGAGACTTAGGAGAAAGTATCGTCTACTAATTATGACCGATGTTTTTACTTTCCACCTTGATGTCTTGAGTGAGGTACCACCAGAACATTCAATAAAGTCATGTTTTGTTGAACGAATTTATTGGAGGTGTATTTCTATTTTAACGCTGACAATTTAACAGATGGAAATGATGTCAGCAAGTTGTATAAATACAGATAAACTCAAATGAAACTAAATGACGATGAAATCATATATATGTATATTATTATCTCAATACCCAGTATGCTTCAGTACCCAAGCCATCACAATACATGTTCCACATTGTCACGCTTGTTACACAAGCCTTGATGGACACAAGAGTACACTGACTCATTGTTCCCGTCAGATGTACATATACCCGTACATATACCCTGTTATTGTGGAAACCAGCCATGCATTGTACAGCAACAGTGGTTCAAACCAGTATAATACAATTGTGACATTCTCACATTGCTGGTAAAGAAACTGTTGACAAGTGTGTGTTCGGCAGCGTGTAAGGAAAACGTCTTCACTGTGTTGTTCAAGCCCTGGTTTTAACTCAATAAGCATGTACATATGACATGCACCTCGTCTCAATCTCACGTCAGGCAACCACGATCAACATTTTCCACATCTGTTCTTCCTTAATCATTCTGTCGTACCCTCATACGCGCTACTGCTACCCTGCCGCGTGAATGTAGTGATGAACGGTACTATTGGCAATGGGGTAGACGACCAGTAAACAAAACAACCGCGACTAAGACTCGGGTCTGATTCCCAACATTAGTGCAAGGTGTCGAACCTATTCTGGGTGTCTCGTTAGAGCGGGAGTATTTTGAAACTCATCCACTCATAGGTGCAAATGTGCGCATGACCATCCACGTTCATTCTTGACGTAAATGTCAGTATAACCAATGGTTGAAATGTTCGGAAGCCTGGTCATGAACATCAGGCACATACGTTTCCCAATTCAGGGAATGACCATTTTATAGAGTGAGCTGGTTATGTCTCTTATGCCAGCAGTCCGCTATGGTTGTGATGGTCAATAACGACTCGAGAACTGCACGCCCTTGTCCATCTCTTGTTATCAAGTAGAAAACATGTACTTCATGTTACGACTCTCTGTCACACCACAGGCCGGAGGGTGCTCCTGGCCGAGGTTCGTGCCGGCTTTGGCGACGTCGTGTTGCTGCTGGAAGCAAGGACCACTGTGTACGGAATCCGCCAGGGGTCGTTATTGTTCTTCAGTGGCACAACAATATCTTTTGTATTCCTGGAAATACCAGCAGACTTCAAGAAGCGATTGTACGCGTCATCAAGTTTGTAGAATTTTGAACTTTTCTCTTCCTTTTCGAGCCAACCGGAATCTTTCGTGAAGTCATATCCTGTGGACAATACAACATGGATTTTGAGACTGACGTTTCAAGATTTTAAGAGTTTACGCATCATAGAAGAGAATGTAAGTAATATAAGGTGTAATATGAGAATATGTATCGGAAATGTCTGACTGATTAGTCAAGTAGGTACCAGTGATCAATAGCATAGGCATCGATCTACGCAACTTGGATACAAGGACATGTGTCAACCAAGTCAGCGAGCCTGACCACCCGATCCCGTTAGTCGCCTCTTACGACAAGCTTGGGTTACTGAAGATCAATTCTAACCCCGGATCTTCATGGGTCGTAATTTTTGTAACCATTTGATAGCAGTAATGTTGATCGTGATTATCTTGTGGTGTTTGTTAATGCTCACATGCTGCACTACTCACCCGAACTCTCCAGCAACAGTAAACACTCAGTTGAGTGAAAGAACTGGGAGTGAATTGCTTCATACAGGGCAGTGTGACCTCCATTGTCGATGACGTTAACGTCACACTTGTTCTTCATGAGGTAGATGGCCGTTTCCTCGCTGCCTTCGTCCAGGGCGTAGAACAGGGCTGTTTTTCCTTTCGCGTCACTCGCATCAATGCTAGCACCTGTGATAAGATTACATGCCAGGGGGTTAAAGATCGAAACGTATCAAAGAGGAGAACAAACAAGAATCATGTAACTATGAATTACAATGACCATGACGTAACTATCAACGTGAAACTAAAGTAACGACATCAAACAAAGTGACACAAAACGGTATGTATGAACCAACGGACAAGAAACAGGATACACCCATGTTTGATGATGATTTTGCCGTTTGTCGTATTTCGGCAGCTGAAGAGCCCAATTTCACTTGGTTTTTTTTTGTGTGTGTATGTATATGTGTGTGTATAGGGGTGTGTAGGTGTGTATGTATGTGTGTATATGTATGAATGTGTGTGTGTTTGTATGAGTGTGTGTGTATATGTATGAGTGCGGGTGTTTGTATTTGTAAATATGTATAATTTTGTGTGTATACGTATGAGTTTGTGTGCATGTATGCGTGTATATGTATGTGTTTATGTCTATGCGTGTATATGTATGTGTTTATGTCTATGCGTGTATATGTATGTGTTTATGTCTATGCGTGTATATGTATGTGTTTATGTCTATGCGTGTATATGTATGTGTTTATGTCTATGCGTGTATATGTATGTGTTTATGTCTATGCGTGTATATGTATGTGTTTATGTCTATGCGTGTATATGTATGTGTGTATTTGTGAGTGTGGATGTATGTAAGTGAGTATATGAATGAGTGTAGATCCATATATAATCACGGCTGTCACTACTCACCTTTCAGGTGAAGACATTTTAAGATATCCAGGTAGTCATAAAAGGCAGCTTTCATCAACGGCGTCTGTCCTTCCTTGTTCTTAGCATCCAGTTTACATTTACCTGTGAGAGAAAAACATTTCTTAGAATTATAAAACAATAATATAACTGAACGCAATGGTTTAACGGTAGCAACAGGTCGAAGACATTTCCCACTGGTATGTATGTATGTATGTATGTATGTATGTATGTATGTATGTATGTATGTATGTATGTATGTATGTATGTATGTGCGTGCGTGCGTGTGTGTATGTATGTATGTATGTATGTGTATGTATGTATGTATGTATGTATGTATGTATGTATGTATGTATGTATGTATGTATGTATGTATGTATGTATGTATGTATGTATGTATGTATGTATGTGTGTATGTATGTATGTATGTACATGTATGTATGTATGTATGTATGTATGTATGTATGTATGTATGTATGTATGTATGTATGTATGTATGTGTGTGTATGTATGTATGTATGTATGTATGTATGTATGTATGTATGTATGTATGTATGTATGTATGTATGTGTGTGTGTGTATGTATGTATGTATGTACATGTATGTATGTATGTATGTATGTATGTATGTATGTATGTATGTACATGTATGTATGTATGTATGTATGTGTGTGCGTGTGTGTATGTATGTATGTATGTGTGTATGTATGTATGTATGTATGTATGTATGTATGTATGTATGTATGTATGTATGTGTATGTATGTATGTATGTATGTATGTATGTATGTATGTATGTATGTATGTATGTATGTATGTATGTATGTATGTATGTATGTGTGTGTATGTATGTATGCATGCATGTATGTATGTATGTATGTGTGTGTGTGTGTATGTATGTATGTATGTATGTATGTATGTATGTATGTGTGTATGTATGTATGTATGTGTGTGTGTGTATGTATGTATGTATGTATGTGTGTGTGTATGTATGTATGTGCGTGCGTGCGTGCGTGTGTGTGTGTGTATGTATGTGTGTGTGTGCGTGCGTGCGTATGTATGCATGCATGCATGTGTGTGTGTGTGTGTGTGTGTATGCGTGCGTGCGTGCGTGATAAGAAAGTGTGCCATAGTGTTTGTGTCAAGGAGTGTTTCACATCAGGATACACATGTGAAAACATACACACTGAAAAATCTAAAGAGGTGCGTGACGTGTGTATTGAAAGAAGCCGTACCTGATTTGAGCAGAACCTGAACCATAGGTAAACTCGACTTCTCTGTGGCTTCATGTAAGGGTGTATCGCCATCGGTGTTAGCAATAGTTGGGTCACAGCCCAAGGCTAGCAACATCTGGGCTATCTCAACACGTGAGAAACAAGTTGCGACAAATAAGGCGGTGCGGCCACTCGTGTCTTTAGCGCAGATGTCAGTTGAACTGTTGGCCAGTGCCTTTTTGATAGCCTGGATGTCGTTCTTGTAGGCATAATGGTGTAGTGGCAGTGCTCTAGAGTTCTGTCTGGTGTTTGTTGATTTCTTTGTGGATTCCATTGCAGCACAAACTGAATAAAACAAGAAAGTACATGTTCGTGTTATTTTACCGAGGAACATATCGGAGGCATTTGTCTCATGCAGATACTAATAACATTGAACTCTTTCATATTATGTTTATACACGAATAAAATATTATACTGTGCGCGTCACGCCACGTCTCGCCGCGCGAAGTCTGTTGATGCATCCGCTTTGAAGCTGTATTCACAAGGCGGGTGTGTGTGTGTGTGTGTGTGGTGTGTGGGGGGGGGGGGCTTAGGGGGTGAGATGTGAGATACCTTTCAAAATGTCACACACTTAACGCAACTCTAAATATAAAAATAGCTAGCCGAGGTTCTGTCTTCCACTGCAAGCCCACCTCGTCCGTACGCGTCTGTAACTTGTCGGTACAAGCAATGTTCTTCCATTTCCTAAGTTGGCTCAAGGTGCTTTTATTCCAGCCCAGTGTACACAAACACCGTGCTCATGAATACATTGAACATTAGGTATGTCGTTACGACATTAGGTTTGCTGATCGTCTAGGATCTGTAACCCTTAGGGCCTGATATAACTGCAATACTGTTTACAAAGCTCACTCACATATCGGCTTTCAATAATATTACTCCACTTCGGTTCAAAGTCGTGTCACTTGAATAGGAAGGTAAACTAGATATATATTGTATGCACAGTTCATTGCATCGTTTATTGCAACTGTAGAGATCATGGTGCCGTTGTACAAAGCGATCTTAGCGCTAAGGCGACCATAAGTCCCATATGCCTTAGCATAGACTTAGACTAAGGTTAATGTAGTATTGTGGGCTGCAATTCACATGGTGTAGTTTTTCAACCTCTGACAGTATCTGAGCTAGGTTGACACAATTGCTATTTGCACAATAATAGGGACATATCACATAACAAGTACTCCATGGGTTGAATGACACACAGTGTCACGCGTGGGTGCATTCGCTTCTCACCCACTACCTGACTGACTGAGTTTGGTTTTACGCCGCTTTTAGCAATATTCCAGCAATATCACGGCGGGGGACACCAGAAATGGGCTTCACTCATTGTACCCATGTGGGGATTCGAACCCGGGTCTTCGGCGTGACGGGCCAACGCTTTAACCACTAGGCTACCCCCCCCCCCACTACCTGAACAAGAAGATGATTGTGTATGGGTATTAAGAAGGACAGTGGGAGTGGAAGTGAAATATTTTATATAATGATACCATGACTGTTATTTTGGACACATGTATGAATACAATGAACATGAACGTCTTGTGGTTGTCGCCTTCCTCTGGAATTAGGGTTCTTGTGTAAACACCTGAACCCATTGTTGCAAATTTCCACCCTTTTCGCACGAAGGCGAAAACGAAAAACGGCCCATGTTTTTACACGCCAAAACGTCGCCTTCCTGCGAAGACACCTCTAAACTATCGACATCCCCTGACCTGCACCGTTCTGAAAGGGCGCAGATTACCTTAACCAAGATAAAATTTTATTTTCCAAGTTTCAGGCCACAGGCCCATAGAACATACATAATACAAACGTAATACAAATATACATGAATAGGTTAGATGGAAATTACATCAGTGATTATTGAGTGACTCGTAATTTAAATGCGTGTATTAGTTGTTTCAAGAGTTGTGTAACAGTGTATTTACATATTAAATTTATAAATTTTCCACATGATGGATTAGTGTAGAATTTATCGATACAATTTAGCCGTAATGCTGAATATGAATTACATATAATTAAGAAAAATATATTTATTTTCGATGAAATATAATACCTAATCTTTTTCCCTGACTGTGTTACCTTAACACTTTTGATGAAGTCTGCCATCAGGCTGGTATCTGGTTATACTTGCGTTGCGTCGGCTATATGACGTGTAAGAGGCGGATTTTCAACTATGTCTAACACAGCATTTTGCACGAACATTTTATGTCGGGAAGAGTCTAGTTGTGAAGCACTGGTGAGTTTGTAAGGAAACGAGTATTCAAATATCTGACAAGGTAATGTTAATACTTTCAATATTCTGGTGAATCACAGGGCTGATGCCGACTGAACACAACAATACCTATGGAGACCAACCCAGTGAGCTGTGAACCTTACATTCTTTACACAAAGGGGTCGTAGCTGTCGGCGACCGCGGTCGGACCCCTGCAGCTGCTGTCTGATAGTTAACAATGCGCCAATAGCTAAACTCACGACACCGGTAAGTTTCCGGACTTACATCGGAATATATTGGTAACAGACACTGAAGACCGCCAATATCCCGGGGCAACGAACCTGCCACGAATTTTAATAAGATCAAGAAACTTACACAGCTAAAATCTAACCTTTACTTAACTTTGTTTATTAAACAGGACCATATGGTGCAGTATACTTGTAACACACCTGCGAGACCTTTTTTTAATTTAAAAATTTCATAAATTCTAATCAATTCATATGCATGTTAAGAAATGTCTGTGTCATAAACGATAATATCTATTTTTCCTATAAACGCCCATCAATGATAGTTTAGCCACCGTGACTGAGCCTTCACACCGTAGCAACCACATCTGTTTCACGTACGTTGCGTTTCTCGATCGGGTCGTGACAATGATGTAGTGAAACGCAAGCCCCACTGCTGTAATAAATGTCGAGATATGTCAGAGACGCTTCAGGCGGGGATCGTGAGTAGCAGTGAAATAAATGCTCCTCAAGCCTCTATATATTGGCTAGGGTTACATACGTTTGTGGTAAGAGCGGTGAGCTATTCTCCCCCCCCCCAAGCAATTAATTACCACAATCAGTGCATATCCTGGAACAAGCGGGATTAAGTTTCAAGATGCATGCTATGTTTTCATTTGAATATCTCCTCACAAGATGTAAGGGGTCAACTGTTCTGATACCTTAAGTGGAATACCTCTGAAATAAATAGAACAATTGAAACTGTAAAGTATGTGGATTAAGTTTAAAGATGCATGCAGCAGAAAGAGAATCTACCGCGAAATTGACAACAGATTGGAAAGACTCAAGCAGCAACTTCAGCAAGCCGAGAAAACACACATGCAGTTCCTTGATGCAGTTGGACATTTGCTTCATCTTGGTTAGGGAAATGTTATATCAGATAAATGCTGTGCTTAAGGTGCCAAGGATGTCATGATGATGACCAGTAAGCATTACATGCATGTTATGTGCAAATTAAATGTTATGTACAAATAATATATTTTATGGAAATGTTGTGGAAATACAGTGGACATGATCAACGTAGTATCATATTTAATATTTACTTCTTTTTTTTTTATCTCTGTTGAACTTCTTGTCTAATTGATTCTACTGGACTGATCCATTATAAGAAATAGGTATCAGCTTGAGGATTAGCGGTGCACTGAACCAGAAATATTGTTGTTTAAAGCTGTTTAAGATATGGCGGTCTGAGTTTTGGGAGGTTTCCCCTGGAATACACGGTTTACTCCAATAAGAACTACATCCCATTTGAACTACATCCCAAATTAACTACAGGGATTAATTATGGATTAATTATCTGAGTAGAGGCACCCCCATGGCATGTAATGAGCACAGCCCATCAGCTCTCCCAGAAGAACTACATGCTTAAAATCCTATTGACCAGTAATTATGTTGTTGTATAGGTAATCTAATAACCAGAAAGTAAAGGACAAGAGAGAAGGGTATGCTGTAGTTAGTGAATGTTCTTGTATTCATATGATAGAAAATAAACAAGCCAAGCTTAATATATTAGAGTGAAGGTAAAGGTAGATTGGAGTAAATGTGGAATACAAACGGATGAGTTTTTAAGGTAAAATAGTATTGTTATAGACTGCAATCCAGTACCTCGATGCAGTTGGCTACTTATTGAAGTTGGGCTAAACTAGTTCTACATGGATCAGATTGAACACTGAGGATGAAAGTGACACTAAATTATCACCCTAAATATGTAAGCCTATCTATAGATGAACTATCTGTACATCTATATATAAAACTCCAGACTTTATCTGCATTCAACGGGTCTTCATGTGTACAATGTAGCTATGTCGTTATCATGCGTATGACGTTACAGTTAGTGACAACAGGTAATATGTAATCGATATATAAGACATATCTTCTTAGGTAGTTGAAAATACTGTTCATAAAGCAGTAAAAGTCCCAAGAGAGACACTTATGAAAACAAGAAACAAATACAGAGATTCTTCCATTTGTTTGTACCTACAATCCTAATAACTGTACAATTATGCCCATTATAAAAGCCAATCTTCCAATTTTGTATAAAAGTGATACTATGAAAAAGGGTTTATCAGTCAGTGTAACAAAATGTCAAAGACCTCGATGTGGAACTTGTTCAATCATAACTGAAGACTGCAAATTTACATTTTGTGAAGGCAAACTATATACATGTACTATCAAAACCAACCTGAACTGCCGCAGCTATATATGTTTTATTTGTTTTCTGTTGGGCAAATCCATTAAGCAGACGCAGCTGACAGCATGTAGTTAATCTGTGCACGGGACCATAACATGTGTTGTTTTAAGCTGTAGTTCTTATAGGAGGACACCGAACACACCATTATCGGATCCTGCTATGGTATAAGCACAACTCAGTACCGCAAGATGTCGACGAGTGGGTTATGTTCCTCAGTTAAATGACAGAGAGCTGAAGATGACAGTCGTTTGAGAATGTTTTTGTCATAAACAGCAAGTTATGCCTTGTATGATTGATGATGTCGACTGAAAAATGTCAGTTTATTAAAACAACCAAGGCCGTAGGAGTATTCCTGTTTGTATCTATGTCACTTAGAGTGTCACTTGCACTTCAAGTGGTGACACAAGGGGTTCGCCATTATTCACAAACAAAGCCCTCAGTCAACGATAGAGCTTGCCCGCAGGTCACACGACTGATGTGATCCTTCGAAAGACATGAGACATTAGCAGGCTTCGAAAAATCAACTTTCCCAGAAAATATTTGAAAAAATTAATTGAGCCCAAGGAGTAGATAATCATAGCACTTTTATCGATTCTTTCTTTAAGTATAAACTGGTACTGACTAATTTCATTTCAGGTTATTTAACTTTACTTCGAGATTATTATGATTTGTGTTTTTGTTCATTGCCCAAAACAATTCAACCTCTTGTAACAGCTCTCCAAAACGGGTTTGAATCCGCTTTCAATTTTCCAGGCTACACTTTTAATCAGAATGACAGAATGACTACAACCACTGAATACATTACGGTAGACAGGGCATCTTCCTTAAAGAAAATTTAAATGATCAAACTCTAAATATTCCAACCCCTAATCTTGAAGTCCCATTCATCAAAACAGCAATTAACGTCACTGGACTCACAATTATTGATATTTATGCCATTTATTAAAACAAATTCACCTCAAACATCCTCTCAAAATGTACAACATCAAATACCATCCTGCTCGGAGACTACACCGCCCGGCCCACTGTGGAGCACAAGAGATCACACTGGTAAATTAATTTCAGACTGGCTTGACGACAACAATTACATCCCACTAAACCACAAACGTCCACGATACACACTGTCACACTTACAATCACCCACAGCAATATTTATAGCCATCACCACCACACAACTTGCTGATACAACAACCTAAATAAGACCTAGCGCTTCTTGTTAGGTGAGTGTGGGCTACCCCATCGCCCCTCTGTTTAGGTCCTAATGTGAAGGTCGGGCCATTTTATTGCTGGACATTTGAAAAGTATTTTTTCTTCTTTTCTTCTTTCTTTCTGTGAAGACGAGGATCAAGACAGCGACACAAGTAATCATAAAACCAAAAACTATCTTACTGTGTTAATCAACACCGGGTTTGGGGGGAGGGGTGTGAAGTTGTGGGGGAGATTTGTAGCTCCAAGCACAACCTTTACAAACTTGAGAGATTTTGTGATGTAATGGACAAACAACTTGTTTACGTACTTCAACTGCAACGACGATACGAGTGAACTGTCATGAAATCCACGTGTCATGCACTGATAATGTCAACCATGGCCGCGTAGCAAGGTCGCCGGCTTAGATAGAACACAATGACACACAAACCCCAGTCACGCTGAAAGTGTTCCATAAGTGGGGCCCAGGCCACGTGCAACTAAACATTTTTATTGTCACTTTGCCCCCGTAGTGTATGTACAGGTGAGTAATGACGTGAGATGATTGCGGACGAATGTTACACAATTTCCTGTACTTACAACAAATACATTATGAATATATTTTTTCCCGAAGGAAAATAACTTAATATTTTCCGGTTGTTTTCTCATTTTATTAATGTTGACATACACATGAATACTTACATCTTAAACTGAAGTTGAACAGGAAATACATCTGATCTACATGTCGTCGATCATAGAAAATGAAACACTTAGATTCATGTTAACGTTGTCAGAGTACATGGTGCGGTCTCAACTGATTACCTATTGAGTAAACGGGGTCAGCTGTCCAGGCATTAATTACTAACATAAACATAACACCTTTATTTGTGTGGAATATAATCTTATGTACAATTACTTACTTCAACTCAGTCTCCTATTCCAACTGTTCATGATGTACGGTTAACCGTCCAAATAGTTCATGTACATATACGAAAAGTTTAAACTAGCATGAAGGACTTAGGACAGGTAAAGAGTGAGTGAGTGAGTTTTACGCCGCTTTAAGCAATATTCCAGCAATATCACGGCAGGGGACACCAGAAATGGGCGTTACAAATTGTACTCATGTAGGGAATCGAACCCGGGTCTTCAGCGTGACGAGCGAACGCTTTAACCACAAGGCTACCCCACCGCCCCACAGTTAAAAAGGTTTCAGTGGAAGAGGTTTCAGTGAGACATGTCTATTGCCATGTATTCCCACATGGGATAGAAGAAAGACCGCGATGTTTTTATCTTTCCACACAGCTTTAGGTGGAATGTAGACGTCCGGATTCAGTGAGCAAGTAAACAGATCAGTCACTGAGTCACCCAAGTGATAATAAAGGTACACTCCATAAAACATTGTGAGCATATATGGCTATAGGGTGTAACTTTTATATGTAACTCGAAAACATTTCAACCAAACCCCTTTCATAATCCGAATGCGTAGTGCATGTTGCTTAATCTAGGTTATATCACACTAAAGCGGGCTGTACGTGATGGGTTCTGTACCAGTGAAATTGATACGGGCGATGTCTCACTTCTTCACGGATGACATGCAATCAACACAGTCACCGTACCTGACCACCCACATTTGCCGACAAGTCCCTAATACCACTGAAGGAGCGGAGAGAGAGAGGGAGGGAGAGACAGAGAGAGAGAGAGAGAGGGAGGGAGAGAGAGGGGGGGAGGGATGGAGAGGGATGGAGAGAGAGGGAGGAAGGGAGAGAGAGGGAGGGAGGATGAAGAGAGAGAGATGGAGGGAAGGAGAGAGAGAGAGAGAGAGAGAGAGAGAGAGAGAGGAAGAGAGAGAGGGAGGAGGGAGAGAGATGCAGGAGGAGGGGGAGGAGGTATCATGTACATGTGTATCATAATGTTCCTCGTTGTGTACCACTATGCAAGTGGGTTGTCTCATAGCCTGTATCATTTACTGTATCATTTTGGTGTCTCATAGGTAATCTATTTAAACAGGTATTCTTTTTATACCTGTATATAAACTATCCTTAGTGCTTCAGTCAACTGGTTCCGAGATGATCAAGTGTTTGACTGAGATGTATCACGCTCCATGATGTGATATACAAACATATCTTAGGAAGACACCAGCGTGGCCTCGATCTGCACATTGAAGTTGTGGTGATGGCTATCAGGAGACATGGAGGAAAACGACTGCATCGTGAAATTATCTTAAATGTTATTATCATCATAATGACATGACGTAATGTACATACAAGACAAGATATACAGGGTGTTTAGGTGGATCATGTAGGCAGATCCATGATTAAAAGTGCACACAATCTTTCAAACATATGTAACAATAATGATGTCCCTGTAGTCTGGTGGATAAACCTATACCCGAAGGCACTATTCAAATATTCGAATATATGTGTGCATTTGTACTGTATTCAAACCTATTATGAAAGTGTGGAAGTTTGACATTGCTGTAGGAATCTGCATCCATACTCTTATCAGTCAATGTAGCTGAAGAGTACCTTGAGGCACATGTACTACAGAATTGCATCCCATGTGCGTTTCTGTATACAAAAATGTACCTTAGATACAGTGAAAATACAGAAGGGTACCCGGTACCCGGACGAGTCCATCTTCCTCATTCTAAAACCCAAACCGTAACTATGTAATTGTTCTCGTTCTGCTGATCGCGAACGTTGGTATTGTGCATCGCAAAATATTCGTTACTACGTATTCTCGTTTCTTATATAATGCGATCAAATGCATCTCATTCAATAGAATGACAGTTCCGTCTTAGGGTACGTTTCTGTATTCTGATTTTGTCTAGTGTACGTTTCTGTATTCTGATTTTGTCTAGAGTACGTTTCTGTATTCTGATTTTGTCTGTTTCTGTATTCTGATTTTGTCTAGAGTACGTTTCTGTATTCTGATTTTGTCTAGAGTACGTTTCTGTATTCTGATTTTGTCTAGAGTACGTTTCTGTATTCTGATTTTGTCTGTTTCTGTATTCTGATTTTGTCTAGAGTACGTTTCTGTATTCTGATTTTGTCTGTTTCTGTATTCTGATTTTGTCTAGAGTACGTTTCTGTATTCTGATTTTGTCTGTTTCTGTATTCTGATTTTGTCTAGAGTACGTTTCTGTATTCTGATTTTGTCTGTTTCTGTATTCTGATTTTGTCTAGAGTACGTTTCTGTATTCTGATTTTGTCTAGAGTACGTTTCTGTATTCTGATTGTGTCTGTTTCTGTATTCTGATTTTGTCTAGAGTACGTTTCTGTATTCTGATTTTGTCTAGAGTACGTTTCTGTATTCTGATTTTGTCTAGAGTACGTTTCTGTATTCTGATTTTGTCTGTTTCTGTATTCTGATTTTGTCTAGAGTACGTTTCTGTATTCTGATTTTGTCTAGAGTACGTTTCTGTATTCTGATTTTGCCTAGGGTACGTTTCTGTACTGGTTATATATCTGTAGTACCCGTGGCGACAACTACCCCTTCAGCGTGAATTTATGATGATGTTTTGTTCATGTAAATATAAAAAGAAGCTTCATATTGCCAACTTTAGCTATTGATATAATCATCACGATAATATCCCATCACGCCACAATAATTACCTTTGTTAACATAACCGTATGCATTGATATAACATGCGATTTAAATGTAATCATAAACTTGATATGGTGGAATTATTGCGTTCTCTATTTGCAATTTGAGCAAATATTATGACGAGCTCCAGAGAGATATAATAATGTTATACAATGTATAAGCAAACATTACATGACACAACTTTGTGAACGTGACCTTGAATATGTAATATATAATTTTATCATCACTGTTCATGCAAACATGTCATGTAATAAATATTACTCTGTTACTGATAACATACCATGATACCTTGCTTTTACTTGCTAGAATTGATTCAAAATATAGCATACCAAATAACATGTGTGAGTCGGTGCTTCTTTTCTGTATAATGTGCACATACATTGCCATAATAGTAGAGAATTATCACGGGGTTTACTTACCGAATCGCGTATCAGTTTCTTTGTGTCCACAACATGAAGAGCGGCCTCGCTGGTTCTCTGTTTTACTCATAATGAGATACAAGGCAAGACAGCCCGCAGCTTTGAAATGATATCGTCATACATGACCTGTCAGGGAGTATTTGTGAGAACCTATCCTGCCTGGCCGGGAACAGCTACAAGACGAGCGACGAAACGATCGCTGCATGATTCAGTTGGAGACACACCCACCTACATGTGCATAAACTATGACACTGACCTATGTTAATAGGTACTGTGATGAGAACTGTAGTTAGTTGGCACCATGTGCTGTAGTGAGAGGTGTATCTAGTAGGCACCATGTGCTGTAGTGAGAGGTGTATCTAGTAGGCACCATGTGCTGTAGTGAGAGGTGTATCTAGTAGGCATCATGTGCTGTAGTGATATCTGTAGGTGTGTGACAAAATCTGTTTTGATGAGAGCTGTATCTACGCGGCAACATATATACTGTCCCAAAAAAGAAACGCATAGGCGTTTTGTATTTTCATAAAATATATTAATTACCTATTGTGTTCAAACAATCGTCCAGATATGTAACAAAAGTGATGATAACATGATTTTACACAATTGCATAAATCGACTTTTACCTGAAAATGTTGATTTTGATAAGATTTCTTACAAGGATTAAAAAGGCATCACCACAACGCAACAGAAATCACCTTCTAGTTGAGCATGCACTGTCTGGCTATAAACATCCAGATTACTTCTGGAAATAGGCATTCGTTTTGAAGGAGTTTCAAGGTCAAATCACTACGCCACGTCTTGACGCTACGACAACGAACATCGCCATTGAAAGAATGCACACTGTTACCAGGAGTCTGAAGGTTGTATCTGTGTAGCAGAATTGGTTATGGTGAGAGCTGTATATATCTAGTAACATGTGTTACGGTGAGAGTTGTATATATTTAGTAACATGTGTTACGGTGAGAGTTGTATATATGTAGTAACATGTGTTACGGTGAGAGTTGTATCTGTGTAGCAGAATTGGTTATGCTGAGAGCTGTATATATCTCGTAACATGTGCTATGGTGAGAGTTGTATCTGTGTAGCAGCATTGGTTATGGTGAGAGTTGTATCTACCTCGTAACATTGGCTACGGTGAAAGTTATACATATGTGGAAGCATGTGTTATGGTGAGAGTTGTATAGTATGACCAGAAATAATTGAGAATTTTAGGAATATGTTTAATTGGATTTTAAGTACAAATAGCCATGGCCAGCTATCAAATGCTTGGTTTCATTCAAGAGAGACAACTCCGTTAATCCTTGTTCATTAGTTTGTGAAGAGTTATCCCCCTTTGTTTACTTGCTAGCAGACGACATTTTCAGTGATCCTCAGTATGGATGATTTAGAGAAGAAGAAGTTGATGTTAGAGTATTATAACAAGGACATCAGATCAGCTAAAGTGATTTCAAGTAGAACAGGCATCCCTTTGTCCACTGTTTATCGTGTTTTGAAAAATATTGCAAATTGATATGGCATTGAGCACCAGGGAGGCGCAGGTAGGCCCAGAAAACTGACTGTCGGTGACAGGAGGCGGCTTGGTATTCTTGTTTCTAAAAACAAACGAAGGAGTTTAGAAAACTTAAGGCTGGATATGATTGATAGAGGAACTGTGGCTGTCTGTAAGGAGACAATTAGAACTGAGCTGCATGCAATGGGTTGGCAGAAAAGTCGAGGAATTCTATCACCGATCATGAAACCTGAACAAAAGGAGCGAAGGTTGAACTGGTGCTTACAGCATAGAAATTTTAACTGGGACAATGTGATTTTCTCAGATGAAAGTTCTGTGTGTCTGTTTCCTAATACACTGAAATTCTGGACCAAACAAACTGAAAAACCTTTGTATCAGCGCCCAACGTACAGTCCGAAATTTAACGTGTGGGGTGGCATACCTGTGTTAGGGGCAACGCCCCTCTGTGTATTTGAAGGGAATATGAACAGTGAGCGGTACACAGATATACTCGAGGGACATTTACTTCCATCTGCTCACGTGTTCTATGGAAATATTTGGATTTTCCAGCAGGACAACGACCCAAACATCGTTCAAAGCATTCACAGACCTGGTTTCGTACCACATTATTAGATTGGCCAAGCTATAGCCCTGACCTAAATCCGATAGAAATGTTTGGGGTCTTATGAAGGAAAGTGTCAATAAGAAAAATCTGACAAATATTGCTGAAATGAAAGAAGAGGTGGTCCGATATAGGAACAGCATGGACCACGACTTTCTAACTTCTTTGATCAGTAGTATGCCCCGCCGCATTGAAGCCTGCATTGCTGCCCATGGTGATTTGACAAAATACTAACTGTTCACCTGTCTTTGAATCTGGAGTTATGTTCTGCTAATATTCACATTTAATACGTGAGTAATGAGTGAAAAAATAAAAAAATTACAATATTAAATTCTCAATAATTTCTGGTTGTACTGTATATACATGTATGTGGCAACATGTGTTATGGTGAGAGTTGTATATACATGTATGTGGTAACATGTGTTATGGTGAGAGTTGTATATATGTGGCAACATGGATTACGGTGAGAGTTGTATATATGTGGCAACATGTATTACGGTGAGAGTTGTATATATGTGGCAACATGTGTTACGGTGAGAGTTGTATATATGTGTGGCAACATGTGCTATGGTGAGAGTTGTATATTTGTGGCAACATGTGTTACGGTGATAGTTGTATATATGTGGCAACACGGGTTACGGTGAGAGTTGTATATATGTGGCAACATGTATTACGGTGAGAGTTGTATATATGTGGCAACATGTGTTACAGTGAGAGTTGAATATATGTGTGGCAACATGTGCTATGTTGAGAGTTGTATATTTGTGGCAACATGTATTACGGTGAGAGTTGTATATGTGTGGCAACATGTGTTATGGTGAGAGTTGTATATGTGTGGCAGCATGGGTTATGGTGAGAATTGTATCTATGTGGCAGCATGGGTTATGGTGAGAATTGTATCTATGTGGCAGCATGGGTTATGGTGAGAGTTGTATATGTGTGGCAACATGTATTACGGTGAGAGTTGTATCTATGTGGCAGCATGGGTTATGGTGAGAATTGTATCTATGTGGCAACATGTGCTATGGTGAGAGTTGTATATATGTGGCAACATGGATTATGGTGAGAGTTGTATCTATGTGGCAGCATGGGTTATGGTGAGAATTGTATCTATGTGGCAATATGTGCTATGGTGAGAGTTTTATATATGTGGCAACATGGGTTATGGTGAGAGTTGTATATACGTGGCATCATGTGTTAAGTGAGAGTTGTATTTATGTGGCAACATGCGTTATGGTGATTGTTGTACATATGTGGGAACATGTGTTACGGTGAGGTGAGGTGAAATTTGGTTTTACGTCGTACTTGTATTTCGCTCATATGACGACGTGTGTTACGGTGAGAGTTGCATCTTTGTGGCAACATGTTTAAATGCGAGCTGATCTAACGCGAACGGAGTTCGCTTTCTGAGAATAAATCATTTTGTGATTTCCATACACAGAATGACGGAATATCTTTCCATGTCAATTGAATCTGTTTCTTTGTAGCATGCAGAGAATAACAAATGAATAGTGTTTACCGAGGAAAGTAAATCTTGTAAATGGGGGATCAGAAAGACTGCATACCAGCTTATACCTTTGTACAACGTTATTTGTTTCTACCCAAACGCTCGTTTCTGATAGAACGTAAAGTGAGACGTGTTTCAGGCTTTAAACGCTTCATGAGAAGTTACGCTTGAACGCAACATCTGCTCTGTTGACTTGCTATGGGCATTGACCTAGACAGACAAAGAGTAAATACATAAAGTTGCCACATTTTTGCTCGGTTATCTCCTTTGTTTTTAACACATTGTAATCACCTTTATCGTGTGTTGCCTTAGTAACATAGGTCAGTAGACTTGTCGTCAACATCTGAACTTCTAATCACCCGAAACTTCGTTTCTAGTTCACCATAAGTATTCATAAAGAGATACACGTGACACAGGCGAAGTAAGGAAGGAGTAAGACTGATCCCTGCCTCATCCCTCTTATCACCCATCCTGGTTAGATATTTTCCTTCCTGTGTTTTTTGACCTACTAAAACCCTCAGATAGAAGGGCCTAATTTCAGTTCAAGTACAAAGCTATATCGAATTTCCTATTTTTTAAAAACAACCCCCAGCCTGTTTAAATATATGATTGAAATCACTTGAAATTAGAAACGAATGGCATATTTTTCATGCATACATACCTTTCAAACCCCTAACTCACATAGCACATCTCGTATCTATGGCTCTATATTCTACTGCGTTTCAGCAGCCATGTGATTGATGAAGATGTATGATGCATCTATCGTAATCAATGTCCACGTTGGGGTGTTAATTCTAGCAGACTGTTTATCAAGCACATTAGTGAGTGAGTGAGTTTAATTTTACGCCGCACTCAGCAATATTCCAGCTATATGGTGGCGGTCTGTAAATAATCGAGTCTGGACCAGATAATCCAGTGATCAACAGCATGAGCATCGATCTGCGCAATTGGAAACCGATGACATGTGTCATCCAAGTCAGCGAGCCTGACCACCCGATCCCGTTAGTCGCCTCTTTCGACAAGCATGCAAGTCAAAACATTGATTACACAACAGTCTCGTTTCCTGTTGACTGGGTTCCGTCCTATTGCGCAACTTAGTACAATAACCAGTCCAGAATTTTGAGACCAATTCATTTAACTGGATACATAATTATTAATCAGTGCCATTTGATACATCTAAGCACTTGTATGTTGCAACACTACGCTCCTAAGCCTTGCAAACATGTGCAGCGTGCTCTGTCGTACAGCGAGCACTGACAAACAGACACCTTGAAATCGTGGAAATCTCAAAACGAGACTCTTTTATATCAATCACATCGTGCGTTACGGAACTACACTGAATAAGCGCACAAAAAAAATAACAGGTGTAACCAGAGAACCAGATGTGAATCATTTTACGCCCTCATCAAACTGGGGCAGTCTGTAACGACTTAGTTAAGGTCGCCATAAAATATAGAAATACGATGTTTAAAATTAAAATTCAGTTGTAA